ATCTGACTGAGACTCACAGGTATTCATGTAGATGAAATGAGCACCAATGTACACATAAAATGTTATCTGTAAGCAATTACAGCAGTTTTGTTTGGGAATCCCTAAAACAGAAATCCTCACTACCCATCAAAGACAAAAGGGTGAAACTGCTCTCTGAGGACACCACCAGGAGACAACAATCTAACTTGTAAGCATAGTGAGGCCAGAGAAACTTCTTAGTGCCTTAAAGGTTTGCAGAGAGCACAGGTGCCTGCTCACAACCATCTAACTCCAGCTTCAAAAGATCTGATGCCAGAGGCACCAGGCACAAGTGGCATATAGAAAATCAATCTAATAGAAATTTTTAAACATACCAGATTCTCCATGCTGAGAATGGAGAATGCCTGCCAAGAAGTGAGATAGAGAGGAAGACAACCTGGGTATGCTTCCTTCCTCCTAGGAAAGAATGGGTTAAACCATCTCACTACAAACTTTGCAACTTTTGATTCAATAAAGTATGAAGGTTGCCACAGCCATGATGGAGAAAAATTAAGTTCTTTTCTCTAGTTTGGCCAAACTGTAAACAAATCTGCTTCCCTTTACCAAGTTCTACTTCCTAATTTCTTTTGAAATACAGGGAACCTGTGAAGACAAGTTATGAACCAAGTATCAGGAAGCAGTATCAGTATTCAGCAATCAGAAGAAACCGTAAGCTGACCAGAAAGGTACTCCAAGAGCACTTGTCAGAGGACATTAAAGGTAAGAACATGTAAGAATGCATAAGGGACTGTTCAGCAGAAACAAAACTTTTTTTTAGCAGTGTTGGGAAGTACACAACTCTACAGTTTTCAACATTCACACAACTATAGACCAAAGAAAAGTGAATGTTACTAAATGTTAAGTAAACCAACCAAAGAAGCACTTAAAGTGTCATGTAACTCACTGATTAAAATGAATGTATGTAACAAGAAGTGAATAGCTAATAAATGAAGAAGGAATATGAGAAAGAGAAATCCCACTTAGGAGCTGATGTGGAAGAGGGAAAAGGGCCAGGATATTTTTTTTTTAAGATTTATTTATTCTAGGGCTGGAGAGATGGCTCAGTGGTTAAGAGTATTGCCTGCTCTTCCAAAGGTCCTGAGTTCAATTCCCAGCAACCACATGGTGGCTCACAACCATCTGTTATGAGGTCTGGTGCCCTCTTCTGGCCTGCAGACATACACACAGACAGAATATTGTATACATAATAAATAAATATTTAAAAAAAAAAAAAGATTTATTTATTCTACAGAGAAACCCTGTCTCGAAAAATCAAAAAAAAAAAATTATTATGTATATTATGTATATAGTGTTTTGTCTGTATATATGCTTGCAGGCCAGAAGAGGGCACCAGTTCTCATTACAGATGGCTGTGAACCACCATGTGGGTGCTGGGAATTGAACTCAGATCCTCTGGAAGAGCATTCAGTGCTCTTAACCTCTGAGCCATCTCTCCAGCCCATTAAGACCTTATCTTTAAAAAAATAAAAAAACAGCAAGTCTTAGTGATTCACAACTATAATCCTACCAACACTTGGGAGAGAAAGGTAAGAGAACTGCTATAAATTTGAGGTCGGCCTGAGTTACAGCATAAGTTTCAAATAAGCCTGGGGTAGAGTAAAGCTCTGCTACAAAAAGAAAGGTAAGAAGAAAAAGGCAAAAACAAACAAACTATTTAATTAAATCAAAAGGATTAAGGTGGACGTGATGAGGCACACCTTTAATCCCAGTACTCAGGAAGAAGAGGCAGGAGAATCTCTGTGAGTTTGAGGCCAGCCTGGTCTATAAAAAGTTCCAGGACAGGGCTAGAGAGATGGCTCAGTGGTTAAGAGCACAGCCTGTTCTTCCAAAGGTCCTGAGTTCAATTCCCAGCAACCACATGGTGACTCATGGTGCACTCTTCTGGTCTGCAGGCAGAGTACTGAGAATACTGTATACATAATAAATAAATAAATCTTTTAAAAAAAAAAAAAAGTTCCAGGACAGTCAGGGCTGTCACACAAAGAAACCCTGTCTCAGAAAAAAAAGAAGAAAAGAAAAGAAGAAAAGGGAGAGACAGGGAGGGAATCCACTGTGGGTCTTTATAGTAGTAACCAATTCAGAGTGATTTATCATTAGAGAAATGTTTGAAATAATGGGTTAGAGGACATTTACAAAAATTATATCCTTATCATTTACAGAAGGAAAATTCATGTCTATTGAACAGACCTGGTGAACACCACCTCAGATGCTTCAAGTTAACATCACCAGTCAGGACTAGGCAACACCATGGCCTGGTGACATGCTACATTAAGATGGGCACACTGTCACTTCTGTAGCATTCCTTCAACATCTACCTGACTTGAACATGATAGATACTAGGGTATGTCAAGCAATCCCATACAACAGAACATTCCACAAACTAACTGGTCTGTGTGCTTCAAAACATCATCATCACAAAAGACCAAGAAACCAGTCTAGATTAAAGAAAGCTAGAGAGGCATAACAAGTAAGGAATATGGATCTCCTGGATGAGGTCCAGGGCTAGGAGAAAAACTACAAAGGATCTCTGGAGGACCAGAGAGGGAATCTGAATTTCAACTTCCAGTCATAGACATTTCCTGACTTGGAGGACCTGCTCTTTTCTACGAGCTGAACCATTTAGGGATAAGGGTCATATTATGGTACTGCATAATCGCGAGAATGAAATGCAAACAGCAGTGAATCACAAAAGGTACAAGAGCTTCCTGTATGACTATATATAATATATATGACTATAGCAAATTTCATGTTTAAAATTATATTAAAATTAAAAACAAAACAAAAATATCACCAAGGAAAAAACTGCTTTCAGAAGCCAGCACACTCTCTCCAAAGCACCTAGAATTTAGCTTATGTGTGAATCCCAGGGTCACGAATGTATTCTGTTCTCCTCTACTAAGAAATCTCAGTTCTGATACTCTATAGGTGATTCACACCAACATTTCTTCCAGCTAAGGAAAATACCTACTATGTCTTTTCCACTTTCTGTTTTGCACTATTTTTCAAAATACAGGTAAAAGACACAAGAAAGAACAAACATTAAACACAGCACACAAGGAACCCTAAGCATACAGTAACAGGACTTTGAATATTAGAGGACATGCACACTACAAGCGACCACCACATTGCAGGTTACAGAAAACAATGCAGTAAGGTCCGTGTTGTCATTCATTCATGCAACAGAATTTCAGAACTGTATATGCAGAAAGACTTTTACTGTTCAAAATAAGAAACGGGCTCTGGAAAAAAAAAATGCCAAAGAGCAAATAGTAAATTGAAGGTTAAAATATCTGGATGAAAGAAACGTTTGGGATGAGACTACAATTTAGAACCATCAAAGAGTACCTGAAACAGTTGCTGCTGGGATGAAAAAGCAGCAGAAACATTTGGCGGAAGCTGGGTTGCTATAGCAACGGGAGTCCCAGTCTGCCCATCCTTGCCTGTCACAACCTTTACCTGAGAGAAATATTTTGAGAAAAAAAGGTAACATAATTTTTAAGACTGCTCAAAATTATTAGAATTTCATTGCTGACAGCTCACTAGTTTTGGTGCTTAAAAACAGAGTGTTTTTTGCATCGAATCCAATAAAGGAACACTGAGCTAACTAACAAGTTCATAGCATAACAATCTAACAGCTGCCAATCTTCAGAATTCCAGTCTAGATCACAGGCACAATTTTAAATTCTGCAACTTCCAACTGTAAAATGAGAATGGCAGACACTCGGGTATCAGTGTCCCACAGCTGGTTTCTTGAAAGATCTGCACAGCTATAATGTTCTGTAGCCTACCACATTGATCACACAGCGAAATTGTCTTTAGCAGAAGCTGTGGGAGATTGTGTTTCTTCAAAAGTACAGATAAGGAGGCACAGCTCACAGACAACATTGGTAACAGACACAAAGAAAACTCAGTTTCACTGTTCCATGGCACTAGTGGTGGTCTCCAAAATCATTGAGACCTTCTAAATAACAAAAATGGTTCAGCCTACGTTCAGTGTTGAAGAAGACACAGATGGCAAAGCCACACAGAAACATCCACAGATGTAGTGAGGACTCTGGAGCAAAGGCAAACTTTTGCTCACCAAAAGCAGGTTTCATTGCCAAAGGGCTGACAGCATTTTAAATTATTTTAGCTCTATCATAAAACAAAATAAGTTCCACCGACATAATAAACACTACACAAGACAAAGGCACAAAAGACAGTGCATCACAGTACAGGCCACTAAGACCCCAGCATACCTCAGAGAACTGCGGAACTGCTGTGCTGTTAGGGGGGATTTACTGTGCAGCATTCTAGAAACCCAAAAACAAACTGTCTATAAAAGCTTCTGTCTCAAGTATCACTCCATAGATGATTTCAAAGTGTGAGCTTAAAATAAGATCTCACATCTAACACTACATCTAAAACCTAAAAAATAAAATTTCTTATAGTTGTTTGATATTATCTATACTTAAATTGTGAACAACCCACACAAAATATACCTAGTGACTTACTTGTTTAAAAACCTTGTTTTTATGGACAGACCTACATAAACATATAGTGAAACCAGGAAGACAGGGGAGAAGAACTAAGCCTCACTGAACTAGGAGAACCTTTCCTGTGGGTTGCCAGAGGACTGCCAACAGTATCATGTTGGCCAAGGACCACATACACAGAAGTGAGAAGCCTAGATGGCACTAGCTGAGCTCTCTGCCCAGGATGGGTTCTGGTTCTCAGTGACAATACCTGACTCTGAGAAGACATCAGTCACAAACAGTCCATCTTCCCCACAGACAGCTAACTGAAGAGCTAGCTCTTCCTCTACATGAAGGAAGAAGAAAAGCACACACTTTATTCCTCTTTGGATCCTATGCCACTCAAACCTATATTACCCCGTTACTCACACATCTTCAGTCTACTGTTGCACACCATCTATTTTGCTTTATATATAGCCTTTCAAGACTACTCAACTGTTGTCTTACCTCATCATTAATAACTTCAGATTTCTCTTCCTCTTCCTCCTCTTCCTCTTCCTCTTCAATATCCAAATCATTCTGCCTAAGATATGCTTGTAAAGGGGCATAATGCTTCTTTTTAAAAGCCAAGAAATCCATCATGTTGCCCTGAAGATGTTGCAAGAAGAACAGTTCAATTAAGTACTCCTTGAAGATCTCCTTAAGTGCCTCCATCTCCTTGTAGTGGTAGTCCAGGCACTGCTTTCTCATTTGTGCCATCTCCTGGGAGGCTGGAGGGATCTCCTCCAACTTCTTGGGAGCCTTCTTCATTCCTGAGCTTCCCATAGACGTGAGAGGCACACTGGAAAGGCCTGGAGGCATGGTGGTTCTGGATGGGCTGGTTGGTGGCGGTGGGGATGTCATCCCAAATGCTGAAGGCCCCCCAACACTAGGGAGCAGCACACCTGGTGTCCTTTCAAACCCCAGAGATCTGTTCAGTGGCTGCCCCTGAAGCACCTGCTGCTGTTGCTGTATCAACTGGCCCTGAATAATGCTGCTGATCTGGGGTGGCAGGCTGGCCGTGGTGATGTGGTTCGGGCTGGACAGAGGTTGCAACCCAGTGCCTCCTGCAGCTGCAGGGCTCTGAGGCCCCAGATGGTGGATGGTGCCTCCTGACTGTGCATGAGGTTGGGAGAGTCTCCGTTCTCGGACAGTGATGGGAGCTCCTGAATGCTGGAGTTGAACCTGGGCTCCCTGGGTCATCTGGGTCAAGCCTGGTGCCTCCTGAAATACAAAGTGACCACCACTTGAGGGGCTCAAGCTGATCTGCCTCACAAGCACACTGGCATCCACAAAGCCTCCAGTGGGGCTGCTGTTGCAAATGCCCAGTCCAGGGCCTGGGGCACCTGCACGAACATTCTGCAGGGCTTGCCCTGGCCCAGGGCTAGGCTGTGTGGGGCTCTGAGTCTGGACCTGCTGTGACAGGGGAGAAGTAACTTGAATGTATGATGGAGACCCATGCTCAAAGCGCCTCTGCTGTGCACCAAACTGAAAACCTGGCGAGGTGGGGTTGGGCAGTGGCAGAGGGGCCAGTGTAATCTGCTGGTTCCCTCCTACAACAGAGCCAACATTCTGTAGTGTGATGTTCACATTTTGCCCAGCCACAGGACTTCTGCTCATAAGCTGCTGAATCTGGTACCCAGGGGATTGGGGCGCAGATGGGCTGGCTGATGGAGCGAAAGGCGCTGCAGGCGATGGGGATAAGTTAGGATGGGCTGTCTGCTCCTCTTCACTCCCAGTGAAGGACCTAGACCTCTGTAGCTGATGCTGGACATTCTGAGAACCACTGCCATGGTGCATTATCACCTCCCTTTTCTATCCAATGTAATATTCCCCTGGAAAAAATAAAAATTAAAATCAAGACATTGGAAGGCAAATACAACATTTGATTACCACTTAATACAATTGCCACTCAGCAGCACTGAAAGATACTTGAACATATGTTACCATGGGTCTGATTCAAACTAGAGCTCTTTTCATTACTTTATATATAAGAACAGGTGGCCACTTACAACTTATAACAACCTTCCCCATCTCCTTTTCTCCACCCAAGATTCCAAAGGAAAGATGGTCAGGGAGGGAGGGTGCCCTAGCCCCTGCCTCATATAGAAGTAAAAAGCCAAGAAGTTGGTAAGTCACTTAAGAAAGAACTATGAAATAAGAACTATGGTACTACACAGCACATTCAGCCCAAAGGGACAGTGGCTACTTTGTAAATGACCCTGTGAGCTCTGCCACAGTGATGTGGGATGCTCTTCTCTATGCTGCGAATATGTTTTATTACCACTGGTTAATAAACAAGCTGATTTCGCCAATAGCCAGGCAGAATAGAGCCAGGCGGGAAATCCAAGCAGAGATAAAGGGAAAAAGAAGGTGGAATCAGGCGAAAAGCAGTCACTGGGGAAACAAGATGTGAGGTAACAAACCATGAGCCTTGTAGAAAAATATAAAAGAAATGGGTTAATTTAGGTTAATTTTAAGTTATAAAAGCTAGTTAGAGCCGGGCGATGGTGGCGCACGCCTTTAATCCCAGCACTCGGGAGGCAAAGGCAGAAGGATCTCTGTGAGTTCAAGGCCAGCCTGGTTTACAAGAGCTAGCTCCAAAGCTACTGAGAAACTCTGTCTTGAAAAACCAAAAAATAAAAAATAAAAAGAGAGAGCGAGCTAGTTAGTAAGAAGCCTAAGCTAACAGACCAAAAGGTTTGTAATTAATATTAAGCCTCAGAATGGTTGAGAAATGGAAGGTAGAAGAGAAACCTCTAGTTACACCACAGTACCAAAGAACCTTTCTCCTCTGTAAGTGGCTCAAAGTGGCTCTTGGGATTCACTAGTTTAGCCAGGGCTTATATGCTAAATAGCTACATCTGCCTCCCAAGAACAGACCAGAGTAGTTATACTGTTGATCCAAAGAAGCAAGCTGAGGGCAAAGAATATGTTCCCATTAAGAAACCACGAGTCCCTTCAAGCTCAAGTCATCACCTTGGTGAGGAAAGCACAACAGGCAATGACTATACATGCCTTCAGTGAGTGGCAGTCTCCCAGTCAACTATGTATGGCAACCACGTACATACAGTGTAACCAAAAAAAATAAATAAATAAATAAAAAAGGCTAAGCAGAGAAGGCTACAGTGATAAAAGAGCAGAAGAAACTTGGGGAGGAAAGAAAGCTTCGGAAGAAACGAGAAGACAAAGCAGGAAAGCACAGTTTAGGTGTCAGACCATCAGAGCTGCCTATTCTCCACCATGGTGGACTGCAAAGAACTTCTGGAGACATCACAATCCCTGACTTCAAACTCTACTACAGAGCTGCAGTACTGAAAACAGCCTGGTATTGGCATAAGAACAGACAGGAGAACCAATGGAACCGAATAGAAGCCCCGAATATGGGGCTGGAGAGATGGCTCAGTAGTTAAGAGCACTGGCTTCTCTTCCAAAGGTCCTGAGTTCAATTCCCAGCAACCATATGGTGGCTCACAACCATCTGTAATAATATCTGGCGCCCTCCTCTGGCATGTGGGCATACACAGAGACAGAATGTTAAATTTCTTAAAAAAAAAAAAAAAAAAAGAAGACCTGGATATCAATCCACACATCTTCAAACACCTGTTCTTTGATAAAGAAGCAAAAAATATCAAATGGAAAAAAGAAAGATATTTAACCCTGTCTCGAAAAACCAAAAAAAAAAGAGAGAGAGAGAGAAAGATATTTAACAAGTGGTGCTGGCATAACTGAATATCGACATGTAGAAGAATGAAAATAGACCCATATCTATCACCATGCACAAAACTCAAGTCCAAATGGATTAAAGACCTCGATATAAGGCCAGCCACACTGAACCTTATAGAAGAGAAAGTGGGAAGTACACTTGAATGCATTGGCACATGGAATCACTTCCTAAATATAACCCCAGCAGCAAAGACACTGAGAGAAACAATTAATAGATGGGACTTCCTGAAACTGAAAAGCTTCTGTAAAGCAAAGGACACGGTCTACGAGACAAAACGACAGCCTACAGAATGGGAAAAGATCTTCACTAACCCCACATCAGACAGAGGTCTGATCTCCAAAATATACAAAGAACTCAAGAAATTGGACACCAAAAGATCACATAATTCAATATAAAAATGGAGTACAGACCTAAACAGAGAACTCTCAACAGAGGAATCTAAAATGGCTGAAAGACACTTAAGGAAATGTTCAACATCCTTAGTCATCAGAGAAATGCAAATCAAAACAACTCTTTACACCTGTAAGAATGGCCAAAATCAAAAACACTGTTGACAACTTATGCTGGAGAGGTTGTGGGGAAAGGGAAACACTTCTGCATTGCTGGTGGGAATACAAGCTGGTACAACCCCTTTGGATGTCAGTGTGGTGATTTCTCAGAAAATTAGAAAACAACCTTCCTCAAGACCCAGTAATATCACTTTTGGGTATATATCCAAAGGATGCTCAATAGTGCCACAAGGACATGTGCTCAACTATGTTCACAGCAGCATTGTTTGTCATATCCAGAACCTGGAAACAACCTAATGCCCTTCGACCGAAGAATGGATTAGAAAAATGTGGTACATTTACACAAAGGAGTACTACACAGCAGAAAAAAATAATGACAGCTTGAATTTTGCAGGAAAATGGATGGAGCTAGAAAACATTATTTTGTGTGAGGTAACCCAGACACAGAAATATGATTATCACATGTACTCACTCATAGGTGGTTTTTAAACATAAAGCAAAGAAAGCCAGTCTACAAACCACAATCCCAGAGAACTTAGACAACAATGAGGACACTAAGAGAGACTTACATAGATCTAATCTGCATGGGAAGTAGAAAGTAGAAAAAGACAAGATCTCCTCAGTAAATAGGGAGCATGGGGACCTTGGGGGAGGATTTGGGGGTAGAGGCAGGGAGGGGAGCAGAGAAAAATGTAGAGCTCAATAAATATCAAATGTAAAAAATATAAAAAAATATCCGGGCGGTGGTGGCGCACACCTTTAATCCCAGCACTTGGGAGGCAGAGGCAGGCGGATCTCTGTGAGTTCGAGGCCAGCCTGGTCTACAAGAGTTAGTGCCAGGACAGGCTCCAAAGCTACAGAGAAACCCTGTCTCAAAAAACTAAAATAAATAAAATAAAATAAAAAATGTATAAAAAAAAAAAAAAACACTTGATTCTGGTTGTTCTTTCAGAGGACCAGGTTCAATTCCCAGCATCCACAGGGCAGCTCACAACTGTCCCGACATCCTTGGCAAAACATCAATGCACATCAAATAAAAAGAAGGAAAAAAAAAAGAACAAAACAAAATCTCAGAATGTCAAAATAACAAAACAAAGGAGCAAAAAGGAGTTCCTCCACGTACAGGAATCCATAATCTGGATGTGGGGGACCATGCCCATGATCCCAGCTATCAGGAGGCCAGAGCAAAGTGGCTGTGAATGCAAGGCAGCTCCAAAGAGAGTGCCCCAGCTTCAGAAACAAAGTAAAACAAGTCACAAAACCAGCAGAAAGAGACAGAGAAAAAAAGTTATAAAGACACATTGAGAAAACCCAAACTCATCAAAATGCATGTATCAAATAATTAAGCATTTTTACCAGCTAGAAAATGTAGAAAACATAAAATAGAAATCCAGAAAATGTATTCCTGAAGGAAATTCAATTTTGTAATCCCCCAAAACAATAAAGCTGTAACTGAGCAGTAGCAGGATTTGAGAGGATTTCGGGTTAGGGAGATAGTTTAGTAGATAAAGTACTTGCTGAACAAACAAGAGGACCTGAGTTTCAAGTCCCAAGACCCACGTAAAAGAAGGACACGGTAGAGCTTGTCTGTAATCCCCAGGCTCCTACAATGAAATGGGAAACAGAGTCAGGAAAATGTCTAGGTCCCAGGCCAACTAGCCTGGTATACATAGGTTTGAAAACACCCTATTTCAAACAAGTAGAAGGCAAAACCAACACTAGACCACTTCTGACTACCACATGAGCATCCACACATATATACAAGAGAGCGCACACTCAGTGAGAAAACTCAGTGAGAGCCAGAACCCAGATGCAGATCAAGTCCCAGAAGCAGAGCAGTGGCATCTAGACTAAAACGGCCTTGTATCACCCAATCACTGAGATCCAGCCACACAAAACGTACTCTACTCTCTCCCAACAAAGTACCCTTACATTTCAAAACTCTATTTCACACAAATGTAGGTACCTTCACTGAGAACCCCAATGCTCAAGAACCCTTTCCATTCCCAAATAAATCATTTGACAGACACCAAAAACGAATTAGCTCTACCTACAGGTATTATAAACAACATTCAATGGTTAAGCATAAGCGTTAGGGATATTACTTAATGATTAAGTGTTTGCTTAGTAGGACCCTCAGATTGATCCTCAGTACCTACACATTCAGAAAGACTGTTTAATCTTTTATATTATTAAAAATGATGCTTGCCGAGCGGTGGTGGCGCACACCTTTAATCCCAGCACTCGAGAGGCAGAGGCAGGCGGATCTCTGTGAGTTCGAGGCCAGCCTGGTCTACAAGAGCTAATGCCAGGACAGGCTTCAAAGCTACAGAGAAACCCTGTCTTGAAAAACTAAAAATAAAAAATAAAAATAAAAATGATGCTTTCAGCCAAGTATGGTGGCACATGCCTACAATAGAAACATTAAGAAGACAGAAGCAGAAGAATCACGAGTTCAAGCCCAGACAGGTCTACATATTATTCAAGGACAGCCATTGCTAATGAACTGGAAAAAAAAAGAAAATATTTTCACTTGTTTGCTTTTTAACAATCTCAAGAAACTCATGGACAGGAGCTGGACAGATGGCTCAGCAGTTAAGAGCACTGGCAGCTCTTCCAGAGGACCTAGTTCAATTCCCATCACCACCATAGTGACTTAACAATCCTCTGTAACTCCAGTTCCAAGGTAAATGATTCCCTCTTCTAGCCTCTGCGGATACCAGGCAATCAAGAGGTACAGAGATATACATGTAAGCAAAACACCTATACACATAAAATAAAAAGGGTCAAACAAAGTCAGGCAGTGGTGGTGCACACCTTTAATCCCAGCACTCCAGGAGGCACAGGCAGGCAGATCTCTGTGAGTGCAAGGCCAGCCTAGTCTACACAGCAAGTTCCAAGACAGGATCTAAAGCTACACAGAGAAACCCTGTCTGGGGAGAGGAGCTGAAGAGCCGGCTCAGGGATCAAGAGTACATGATGCTCTTCCAGAGGATCAGAGTTTGAATTCCAGCACCTACATTGGGTAGCTCACATGCACCAAAAAATCAGATACCCTGTATCTGTATGTCTCTGCATACACATGAACACACACAAATTTAAAAAAAAAAAAAAAAAAAAAAAAAGGTCCATGGACAACCAGATCAAAGACTTCAGAAACAGCGGTACCTAATCAGTGGGGAGGAGATGCCCAAAAGCCCAAGAAAAGGTGCTACAGAGAAAAAGAAGTAAATGGTGACCGGAAGCACACAAAAATTCTCTCCCACCCTGGAATACAAGGTAGCTAAGAACTTAAAGGGTCAACTGGAGGGGAGCACTAAGACAAGGAAAGGTTACTAGGTAGATAAGAATAAGGTGGCCAGAAAACAACTCACTCCGTGAGTGGGTCACAAAGAACAACCAAACACAGAGGTCACAACATCAACAAATGCCTCACTGGGACAAGAGTACCAAGCAGTATTATGAGGCAGCTATTGTATAACTGAACGATCATGGTACCTCCAGTTTAAGACACAAAGCTTTACATAATCAATCCCAACCATTTTTTAAAGTTAGAAGAACAGAACAAGGGACAATAAAGACACTTTGGGTATTAAACTGTCTGAGTTATAAACATGGGGGGAGTACACCTTTAATCCATTACAAGTCAGGTAGCAAAGGCAGGCAGATCTCTAAGATAGAGGCCCACCTGTTCCAGGCCACCCAGAACTACTCAATGAGACCATGCCTTTAAAAAAATAAAAAAATGAAGTTGGGGGGGGGGGGACCGAACTGGGCACTGCGGCAGGCACCTACACTCCCAGCTACTCAAGAGACTGAGGTAGGAGCCGGGCGGTCCTGGCGCAAGCCTTTAATTCTAGCACTTGAAAAGAGACAGGCGGATCTCTGTAAGTTCGAGGCCAGTATGGTCTACAGAGCGAGTTCCAGGACAGTCAATGCTACACAGAGAAATCATGTCTCGAAAAACCAGAGAGGGAGACTGAGGTAGGAAGATAACCTGAGCCCAGGGTCGGTCAGAGGCCCGCCTGGGACACAAAAGTAAGGTTCACCTCGAAAAAAAAGTAAGTATAACAGCCAAATGATGATGGCTCACACCTGTATCGCCAGTACCGTGGCAGTCAGCTGGACTTCTAAGAATAACAGGCCAGATAGGGCTACTTAGCGAGTTCCATACAAACTAACTCGGACTTCCATGAGACTTTTTCTCAGAAAATCTAAATATGTAAACAGAAAATTTAAAGTTTCCAGAACATTCATAGTGTACAAATGCCACAAACAAAAAATGTACAAGAACCACGGATCTTTGTGAGCTCAAGGACAGCCTGGTCTAAATAGCAAGTATAAAGGCCAGCCAGAGCTACGTGGTAATACTGTCTTAAAAAAAAAAAAAAAGAAAGAAAGAAAGAAAGAACCGTTTTATCACGCGTAAAATCCAGAATTCACAGAACGCAAACATCCTGCCAGGGATGAGCGCAACCCCCAAAAGTCGTGGTGCTCCCAGATACTAGATCTGGGGACAGACCTGCGGAGACAGAGGCCCGGAGGCTGATGGTGTACCTCGGGGACCCGGCCCGGGAATCTCCACGGTCCCTGGCGCTCTTTCCGCTCTACCTTAGGTCCCAGCTCTGCGCCTCGAAAGGAAGCCGAGCACCGCAGACCAACAGTGCCGCGGGCGTTAAGAGCCCCGCCTTCCCGGCCGATCCGCACAGGCCGCGCGCCTGCCGAGAACCCGGCTCGCGGAGTTGCAGACGAGGAAAAGGCCTTCCAGAGGCCAGACGAGCGCCAAGCCCGACCACCGGTACCTCTCCGCGCCGCTCGGCCCCGCGGCCCCGCCCGCCCACGACAAAGCACCGCTGCGGCCTGGGACTGACGAGCGCACGCAGCAGCACCGCTGAAGGCGACCGCCCGGCACGCCACCTCCGCCAGCTGCCTACAGCCCGGCCTCTCACCCCGCTGTCGCCGTTCAGGTCACCCTACACCTCGAGCCCCGCTCCGCCGCGTCCGGACAGCCCGCAGGCTCGAGCGCGCCGCAGCCGCTCGGCGTATCCGGGTCCACCGGCGCAGGAAGCAGCGGCGCCGGGGCTACGGCAAGCGGAGAGGGACCAGCAGCACCTGTCCTGCAACGCCCGTCACAGCCGTGCGAGGTCGCCTGAAGTTAAAACGCTCCCGTTGGCCGAGGCAAGGGGCGGGGCTATATTCAGACTGCGCGTTGGACGGGTCTGGGGCGGAATCCAGAGAGCTGAGGACTCCCCCAGAGTCGCCTCTGATGGCCTCAGCTACGCGACTTGGGACCGCTTGGTCCTTAAGAGGAGGAGAGTGCGCGCAAGCAGGTGCCTGCGGGCCGGGGCGTGGCCTTGTCCGTAAGGGGCGGAGCCTGATGTCTTCCTCCCTCTTCCCCTCCCTTCCCACCCCCCCCCCCCCCCCCCCCCCCCCCCCCCCCCCAGTTACGCAGCGTGGTTAGGAAAAGCTCAGCGGACGTAATCGAGTCCTCTGGGTCGTAGCCACGTCTTTCTGGGGACCAGGGGACTAGCCCCAAGGCCTAAAATACGAGTATCGCTGTAGTTCACAGAAAGAAAGCTGAAATGAGGTGAGCAGAAGTGTGGAAATTAGAAACAATAGAAAGCAGAGAAATGTTAACTGCGACCAAGCTGAGGTAGGATTGCTGTGCAAGTTTGGGGCCGACCTGGACCAGCAAAGTGAGACTTTGCGGGGGGGGGGGGGGGGGGGGGGGGGTTCCTTTAGACAGGGTTTCTCCTGTGTAACAACCCTGGCTGTTCTGGAGCTCACTTTGTAGACCAGGCTGGCCTCGGACTCGCAGAGATCCGCCTGCCTCTGCCTCCCTAGTGGAGTAACATTATTTTTAAAAGGCAGCATTTTTAAAAATATTTATTTATTTATTATGTATACAATGTTCTGTCTGTGTGTATGCCTGCAGGCCAGAAGAGGGCACCAGACCTCATTACAGACGGTTGTGAGCCACCATGCAGTTGCTGGGAATTGAACTCAGGACCTTTGGAAGAGCAGGCTATGCTCCTACTCGCTGAGCCATCTCTGCAGCCCCAACGCAGCACTTTTTTAAAAACTGCATTTTTAAAACACTTTTTTAAAAATAAAAATAGCAAAGCATGGTGGCACAAGTCGGTAATCCAGTAGTTTTCAACTTGTGGGTAGCGACCCCTTTGGGGTAGCATAAGATATTTTGTATATCAGATATTTACATTATGATTCATAAAAGTAGCAAAATTACAGTTATGAAGCAGCAATGGAAATAATGTTATGGTTGGGATCACCACCACATAAAGAACTGTATGAAAGGGTCTCAGCTTAGGAAGCTTAGAACCACTGAAGTGTAATGCTAGCACTTGAGAGTCTAAAGCAGGAAGATCTGGGACTCAGGGCTAGCTCATCCACACAGCATGTTCGAGGCTGTCCTGGAATACATAAGACCCTGTCTCATAAAAACATGTGGGAAATGTGTCAGAAGGAAGGGGTCCAGAGGGAGCTGTAGGAGGGAAGGGAAAAGGAAGGTGAATGTGATCAAAATATACATGCATGCCCTCAGCCCCCCACTGAGTGCAGTCCTAATGAGCCCTGGTCATGACAACTGGAGCCATTACTACAGTGTTAAAGTTAATTAAGAAATCCAGAGGTACTCAAGCACACTCAATCCTTTCCGTCTAAAAACCCTTCCTTCTCCCCTTCATTGATAGGAGTTACTTTGCAGAAACAAGTCTTAATCAAGTAGGAGTCAGTTTAAGATGTCATAGTTATAATTTTTTACACTGAAGGGTCATATTTATATTGTTTTTTTTTTGTCTATTGGTGAAAGTTATTTTAGGAAATGTTTTGTCTCTATGACCATTCAGTCACATTCATTCACTCATTTGTTTATCTACTCCTTACTCCAAGTACTAAAACTGGTTTGAAAAAGATAGATAGATAGATAGATAGATAGATAGATAGATAGATAGATAGATAGATAGATAGATAGATAGATAGATAGATAGTTGGGGCAGCTGAAAAAATGGCTTATCAGTTAAGAGCATTTGGGGCTCTTCAGGACCTGAATTCCGTTCCCATAACCCACATCAGGTGATGGAGGAAGGTCATTGGTTAAAAAATAAAGAAACTGCTTGGCTGGCCCTCATAGGTTAAAACATAGGTGGGAGGAGTAAACAGAATAGAATGCTGGGAGGAAGAGGAAGTGAGCTCAGACTTGACAGCTCTGCTCGCTGGAGCAGAGACACCAGGCTCCTCTCTCCCAGGCAGCTCTGACCCAGGATGGACGTAGGCTAGAATCTTCCCGGTAAGCACACCTAGCGGTGCTACACAGATGATTAGAAATGGGCTAAATTAATATGTGAGAATTAGCCTAGAAGAGGCTAGATAGAAATGGGCCAAGCAGTGTTTAAATGAATATAGTTTGTGTGTTATTTCTGGCATAAGCTAGCCAGGCGGCCAGGGTGCTGGGGACGCAGCCCCGCCGCTCCTATTACAACAATCAGGTAGTCTACAGCCATTTGTAACAAGCTCCAAGAGCTCTGACCCCCCTCTTCTGGCCTCCATTGGCATTCACATACATATGGCATACACACAAACAAATAATAGAATAATTTAAAAACCTAACAAAGGGGACTGAGCACTACTGCTCTTGTAGAAGACCAGAGTTAGGTTTCTAGCACTCACATCAGGGAACTTACATGTATACACACACATACACACACAGTCTGGGAACTTGCATATATATGTATATATACACACACACATACATACATGCACACACACAAATCTTTTTTCTAAAAAAAATTGTTTGCTTTTTCCAGAGAGGGTTTATCTGTAGCCCTGACTGTCCTGGAACTCACTCTGTAAACCAGGCTGGCCTCACTCAGAGATCTGCCTACCTCTTAAATTAGGTTGTATATGTGTGTCTTATGTGTGAGTATGAGTACATGAATGCAGTGCCATCAGAGACCAGAACATGGGCTGAACTGTCTGGAGCTAAAGGTAGAGGCAAATATGGCTGCTCAACCAACAGGGGTCCTCTGCAAGGACAGCAGAAGCTTGTAACTGCTGAGTCATCTCACCAACCCCTAAAATAAATTTTCTAAAAACTTTTTTAAATTTCTCTATTTTATTCTTTGTGTAGAAATGTTTTGCCTGCCTGCCTGTTGGATCCTCTGGAACTGGAGTTAAGAGAGTTGTGAGCCACTATCTGGGTGCTGGGAACCCAGGTCCTCTGCAAGAAAAAATACTCTCAACTGTTAAGACATCTCATCTCACCATGAACTATATAACTGCTTGCTTGCCATTCCAAACAAATGAAAAACTCAGGCTGTGGGATGAAGACATCTGTGCAGGTCTATGCTGTAGGAAGTACTACAGCTTGTATTTAACCACCTACTGGGAAGCCCTTCTCTCTAGTTCCCCTTGCTCCATTCCCGCCAGCTGCTCGTTTGGATCACGTGATTCAGCCTGTCAACCGGAGGATTCTGATTTGTGAGTTTACCCCTTAATAAATGACTATTTCTCGATTCTGAGCTAGTGTGGGATTTCTTTTTAGCATCCAACCGCCATAACAGGTCTAAGGGCTGAATCTGCAAAAAACTTAAGGATGTTCTGGAAGGATTCCACTGGGGTAAAGGGGGCACTGAAGTCTCATGCTGAGGTAGTGGTAGTCAGTGTGCAGTGAGGAGGGATACGCTCCAAACCCAAGCTCGGAACAGCCAGGTGGAAGTTAGGCTTCCAAATCTGGGTTAGAGTCTCAGGGACAGAATGGATAAGAGTGTCCTGAGGTCAGAACATGGAAGACCCCAAGCTCCATTTCACAGCTCCACAGCTCAGGTGGGAACCACCACCTGCTGAGGAGGCTGCTGAAGCACAGCCCCCCTGGGGGTCTCTCCGTAGCCCAAGAACAAGCAGTATGGAATCACAGCCAAGAGCTCACACTACCAAGGTAGCCACTTCAAAACAGGCCAGGATAGAAAATGAGGGTATGGGTAGCCATTGGGAGCACACTGCCGGGGGCAGGACATACCACTGCACTCACCTACATCTACTGCCTGCCCTGTCAACCACAGCTCCATGCTACCCTATGTGCCCTTCAGCTATCCCTAACACAGCAGTGTCCCAATCATCTTACAACCAATAAAGAATAATTGAAAATAGAAAAAGAATAATTCACTAAGCAAAACATATTTAATAGGAAAAAAAAATCACTCCTTTTTTTTTTTTTTTTTTTTAAAAAGTGTCCTTTCATGCTAAGGTGTATATACACAACGCATGGGCTAAGAGGCAGCTGATTCCTAGAATGAGAATTTAATATCCTGAGGTTATGAAGCCAGGCTAAATCCACAAGCTGGCCCCAGAATTCTTGGCTTCCACGTCCTGAGAGACAGGCAAGTGCAGAGACTCCAGCCTCAACCCTCACAGCAGTGGCCGCAGCTGTAGTTCAGTCAGTGTCTCCATCCCCTTCGCTGCCCTCCAGGGAACTGGGGACCTGTAGGAAACAGGGGGTCAGATAGGTAAAGGACTGTGGGACCCAACTTGTAGGCATTCCCATATGTGGGGCATGGGGAGAATCCTGGGTACAGTGCCAAGTGCTTGAGCTGAGGGAAGGCCATTGGAGGCACAGAAACAGACTGCAACTGAACGGGCAGCCTACACCTTTAAAGGTAACCAGACTGCTCAGCAGCTTCAGCCTAATGCCAGCCAAGCAAGCCTTGCCTAGAGGACAGTTGGGGTATCCTAGGACAACTACTGCTTCAGCCACAGGGTGGGGCAGGAGCTGGAGGTAAGCCCAGTAACTACATAACCCCCAATCCTCCAGAGGCTGTGTGACTCTAGAGAGACTCTCTGGGGCTCAACTTGCTATCCACAACTAGGGTTGAAGACAAGTGTTTACCCAGTCCATCCAGCCCTAGTATGTACACATATGCACACTACAGACCAGGCACCTACCTTGGCACCTGTACCAGATGCTCCAAGTGCAGTGGCACTGAAGTTGTGAATAGGGAGAGTGCTAAGCCACTGGGCCATGGACCGCTCATCCCGCTCAGTGCTGACAATGGTAGGATAGATGTATTGCTCCTTGAAAGCAGCCACCTTTCCTTCCTCCTGTGTCCAGTCCAGGGGCTCATGCAGCCCATCGCTGCCAAAGCGCTGATTGTACTTCTCAAAGTGCACCCTCTCCAGGACTAAACCAAGCCCTGGTGCCTTGGGCACATCCACCTTCTCCTCACCCCAGCTGCGCTCCAGCACACTCTCGGGGGCATAACCCTTCACAATGGCTACCACCAAGCCAACCATCTTCCGGATCTGATGCATCATGAAGCTCTGGCCCTTCACCTTGATCACAGCAAATTCCAGGCCCTCTCGTACAAAGGGCTCCTCACAGTACATTTCCAGAATGTAGCGGCGCGCACTGGGCTCTCTTGGCCCTTTCTGTGAAGTGAAGTTGTGGAAGTTGTGGGTACCCTTGTAGCAGGCCAGAAGCCGGTTGACCTGCTGCAGGGTCTCTGCACTCAAGCGATAACTCTCATCCTGTACATCCCGGTCTTTGTGAGCAAAGGCAAAGGTGGGCAGCATGTAGCAGTAGGTCCTGGCATCACACTTATTCTTGGAGTTGAACCCGCCTGTGACCCTCTTCAATCCTAGAGGGCAGCATTTAAGAAACCCAGGTGAGCAGAAACACTTCCAAGATGGGCCATCCTGATAACATGATTCTGGCACCACTTGCCCAGGACAGGTACCCAGTTCTGACTCCAAACTCAGAATCTACACAATGCTGAAACTCAAAATGAAACAATCCCAAATGTCAAACCTAAGGGTCTGCCGAAACTGCAGTTGGCAAACGCGCCAGGCTGAGTTATAAGAATCACGAGCCATCTGAAGGAGGTAGCGAGGACTAGAATGCTAAGTCTTTATACAGATACAGCAGCAGATTTCAACAGCAAGAAATGCTAACTACCGAGCAAAACTGGAGGTTCTCACCTCTAATTGAAGAGCTATTGGCAACTATTGGATGCTGGGCAAAAAAAGTCCATTTTCAGCCGGGTGGTGGTGGCGCATGCCTTTAATCCCAGCACTTGGGAGGCAGAGGCAGGCTGCCTGTGAACTCTGTGAGTTCAAAACCAGCCTGGTCTACAGAGCTAGTTCCAGGACAGGCTCCAAAACCACAGAGAAACCCTGTCTTGAAAAACAAACAAAAAAAAAAAAAGTCCATTTTCCTCGGCTAACACAACCCCTGAAAGGTTGCCCGTGCTCCAGGACTACATGAATATACATACAAGCAACACTAAGTGGGAGGGAAAAGTGCTAGGGAAGAGGAGAAAAGAACTGGAAGGGTGAGAATGGGGGAAATTTTGATCAAAACATTTTATATGCATGTAAGAAATTCTCAAACAATTAAAAAAGACTTGTGCTGAGCACAATGGGAAATGCCTTTAAACCACACTCAAGGAGGTCGAGGCAGGCCTGGTCTATATAGTGAGTTCCAGGATATCCAAGGCTACATAGTGAGTCTCTGTTTCAAGAAACAAAACAAGGCTGGGAAGTGGTAGTACTTTCCTTTAATCCCAGTACTCACTAGGCAGAGGCAGGTAGATAGCTGACAGCCTGGTCTACAGAGTAAATTCCAGGACAGCCAAAGCTGTCTTCAAAACATAACAAAACAAAAACAAAGAAACAGAAAAACAAAACAAAAATTTAAAAAATTAAAAACCCACCAAAAGGGCTGGAGAGATGGCTCAGAGGTTAAGAGCATTGCCTGCTCTACCAAAGGTCCTGAGTTCAATTCCCAGCAACCACATGGTGACTCACAACCATCTGTAATGAGGTCTGGTGCCCTCTTCTGGCCTGCAGGCATAGACAGACAGAGTTTATTCTGGAGGATTCTAGAATAAAACTGTCATCATAAGTCAGAAAAAGACCAACCCAAATAAAACTGTACTCTATTGGCCAAGCATGGTAGTACACATCTGACTTATTTACATATTACTCATCTAGATTTGATTTGATTTTTTTAAAAATATTTATTTATTTATTATGTATACAATATTCTTTCTGTGTGTATGCCTGAAGGCCAGAAGAGGGCACCAGACCTCATTACAGATGGTTGTGAG